TCTGGATCAGGACCATAGCACATGTCAGCCCCACATCTCACAGACTCAATCTGGATCAGAGGTCTTCCCAGCAGTCACTTCTATTTTTCATTAATAGTAAATAGAAATGCTATGATGCATTTAATATAACATGTAGTTTGGCCTGCCCACCAGCAAAAAGCTTTAAGTGAAGCAGGGAATCATATACCAGTGGTGGACCGTGGGATCTCAAATTTCAGCAGCACCCTTGTACCTCTCGCCATCCGTTTACCTCATAGTTGAGGCGCCTCCTGCTGCACCCCCAAGGCTCAACACTCAGTGAGACCGAATTGCTCAGTCTCCCCTAAATCTGCCCCTGCATACATACTCATTTATATTACTGAAGTTCTGGTTAGGGCCGTGAAATATACTTGGAGTACTGCAGTGATTTCATGCTCTTTATTGCAGCTTGTAAAACAGGGATTAAATTTCCCCAAAACCTCAATCTTTTATATATATTATTTACACAATGAGTCCCGTCTGATTGGCTGATTCTACTTCCCTCCTGGAGTCTGATTGGTCTTCTCCTGCAGGCCAATCAGTTGTTGCATTCTACGATCCTACCAGCCTAATAGGCTGATTAACTTCCTTCTGGAGCCTGATTGGTCTTCTCCTGCAATCTGTTGTTGCATTCTAGGATCCTACCTGCCTATTGTTATAGGATCCAAGCTTAGTACATAACAGGCCGGATTTAGGTTTGATGAGGCCCTGAAGGTAATGCGGCCCTTTATATGTCCAGCTGTCCTTTGTCAACAACAAATTGCTGCTGTTTTTTGTGTTGAATATATGCTATATGGTAATTTATGGACCTAATAGGTATGGTGCTGGAGGAGACTCTTGAGAATCCCATGGACTGCAAGAAGATCAAACCTATCCATTCTGAAGGAAATCAGTCCTGAGTGCTCACTGGAAGGACAGATCCTGAAGCTGAGGCTCCAATACTTTGGCCACCTCATGAGAAGAGAAGACTTCCTGGAAAAGACCCTGATGTTGGGAAAGATGGAGGGCACAAGGAGAAGGGGATGGCAGAGGATGAGATGGTTGGAAAGTGTTCTCAAAGCTACCAGCATGAGTTTGACCAAACTGCAGGAGGCAGTGGAAGACAGGAGTGCCTGGCGTGCTCTGGTCCATGGGGTCACGAAGAGTCGGACACGACTAAACAACTAAACAACAACAAATAGGTATCTATTTGCACATAACAAAATATGTATTTTATCAAAGTAATTGTTGAACTGAAATATAATTAAGAAGTATATTAATAGTGAAATAATTATTAATGCATACTGTTGCTGTATGTAGGTTTTATTTAATTTTTTTATCTTATATTTTGGAAATGTACAGCTGTTTTTTTCCCTTTAAATTTTTTGGGGGCCCCCAAGAGAGTGGGGCCCTAAGCTATAGCTTGTTTAGCATATACGTAAATCCAGGACTGGTTCTGGCACTGTTTAAACAGCATATTTTGTGGACTGGGCTGCTCCAAACGAATATACAATACATATTACCATATTTCCTGACATTCTCAGACACAGTAGGAAGGAAAGGTCAGGCTGCTTTGAGCTTTATTGCTTCTGTTTTGTTTTTGTTTGTTTTCCTGCAGGTTTTTTTTAATGCAATACCGTGTTGTGTTTTAATATAAGGGAAGTAGCATAATGATGGATAAGGGGTATAACTTTCTTTCCTTTGCTCCTAGGTCTAATTAGTGTGGCACAGTCTGAAACAATATTAGAAGCTTTGTTGTAATTTAATAAGTGCAAACTCCAGGCCTGTACAGCTGTTTCTTTATGTCATATGCTGAAAGGGGCTCCCATATAGGGAAGAACGAGGATAAAATCATAAGCAATTACAGAAAAAGTAATTTTGCATGCAGTGTTTGGTGACAATAGGAAGCAGACATTGGTCTTCATATGGCTTTTTTTGTAACTTTGCATTATCTGTTCACAATAGGAAATGCCTTTTTCTAGGTCCAGTGATAAATGATTTATATATCCTGTCTCCATTCCGCGATCCGGAGTTACGTAAACTACCAACTAAGCCCTTAGATGAACCAGCTGATGAATATCATATTAAAAGCCTCTTGTTGCATAATAAATAAATTAAGCCCCTCATTGTTTAGTTTAATGCACACAATTTCAGAATTGAATAAAACATCTTTTGAAGTGTGAGTTACAGGATCCCATCATAACCACATAAAACTTCAGTAAAGCAACCCAAAGACCCAACTGTAGCTCTGATAAGGTCTTCAGTGAAGTATGCTCAAAAAGTTTAGCATATAAATCCTAAGCGGAAATGTCCCCTGTGAAGAGGGAATGATTGTTAGACCACTCTGGTGGAAGCAATAACTGGTTAAGGTGGCATCAGAGTGCTTTAAATGTATGGTGCAAATGTTGCCATGGTCTCTCATGCCAGTATTCATCTAATACAGATTGGTACTGATCTTAAGGAAATGTTAAACAGTCATTGTTTTGCTCTGCAGATTTTGTTAGCAAAATGTTCAACTGCTCAGACATTCATATATGAGGAGGCTTCTCGCTAGTCCTTCCATCACACTTGTCAGAGCTGTATCACAAGCCCATTGTTCAGCATAATATCAAAGGCTCTTGAACCATTAAACTGAATAAAATTTTGCCAGGGCAGTGAGGAAACAGAATTCCTCACAAATCATTTTTGTTTAGGACTCTGAAATTCCCTCTCTCATACTCATTCTCTCACATTCTTAGCATCATTCACCTATGGAATGTAGGAGACATGTCACATCTAGGTCCTGTCACAAATAAAGCTGAGAAATGAAATCTTGGATGCATAGAACCACCAGAGTTTAGTTAAACTAATAAAATCATAATTAAAAGTGTTGTTATGTAACTAATCCCAGAGGATCCCATCCTGCTTGATTAATAATTCAGAGATTGAAGCATATTTAAAAGCTCCTAGGACTGTGCAATCAAAGACTCTTGATTTATTACTTCTTTGTGTACATCTTTTATTTATTTTTCAAATGGTTCCATACCCTATTTAAAAAAAAACTTGCTGTCAGTCTTGTCTGGATAATTCTGAAAGCTGTATAATGGACATTGCTGAAGGGTCATTTATTTATTTGATTCTAAATGTGCTGCTTTAAGATGTGACTAAGAGCCATTGCAACTTCAATTTAATGCATTTGTGGCAAAGAAGCAAAACTATGCCATTTTGATACTGTGAATTTTAATATTTTGAGGTGAAAACGCCCATCACCATAACGAAGCTATGAAGGGAAGCAAGGCTAATGCATTGGCTCTGGTGAGAGACCAGCTGCCTTTGGCCCTTCCTCTACCACCACTTGGTGACATCCATTCCAGCAGGCGACTGAGCAGAGCCCAAGAAGCAGAGCGATTCTGTTGAACGACCAGCTGCTGTTCTGGCCTCCCCCAACTGTTAGCCAGCGGCAGCCATTCCAGCAGGCTATCTGAATTGCTTCAATCCCACCTGGGCTTTATAAGAACTGTAAATTTAGGGGCTCTCCGTTCCAGTTATGCTGTCTCTTTTAGATTATAAACTTGAGGGCAATGACTACTGAGATCCTTTCTGGCTGAAGAGCTGGGTTAAAAGAACTTTATACAAATAAATTTGCCACACATCTATTCACATAGCATCCTTAGAAGTAGTGTCATCTAGTACAAGGGTTTCCCAAAGTTTTGATATATGAAGCATGACATTGCTGTCATTTCAGCACCAATTGAAGGCATTTGTGTTTACTCAAGCATTTTAGGTTCTTTTTAATGGGCAACTGTTTTAGGCTTCTCAGTTTAGCTACTGTTTTTTACTGCCTCCTGTATTTTCATGAATTTGTTTACTGTTTTATTGACTGGATTGCTGTTAATTTCTTTTATGTCATACTCCATCCTGGTACTGATGGAAGATGGAGCTTTCCAAACTTTTCTTGTTGGTAACACACTTTTTACACATGCATTATTTCACGACACAGTAATTCAGTTTTGCTAGTAAACTGGAGGTTAAACTTAACTTTTTCCAGCCCCAGGAGGCGCGCTGGGAGCGTTCATGCGACACACCTACGCACTGCAGCCAACACACTAACATGTTGCGACACACAGTTTGGAAAGCTCTGGAGTAGATTTCTATTACATTTATTATGTTATATGTTTATAATCTACAATATCCACAATCCAAACAAACAAAAACAGCATTAAAACACCAAAAAACAAGACACACCTATCCTGCTAAGCAGATATGTCCTGCCTTCCATTGGCCACTTTTTACAGATGGATAGGCTCATTCACCTGTCAGTCGCTAGATATCATGTCACTTAAATGTTAGTCTAAATTTGCTCCTTGCAGTTTTAATTTAAGTCAGCACTGCAAAGGATGATTTTTTGCAACCACATCTTGAATTCAAGCCACAACTGCAAAGATTCCTGCTAAAAGCCGGGCTTGCAGCTGGCATAAATTCAGCACCAACTGCAAGCGCCTCTTCCTGAAGGAATTACTTCCACACAGGAGCTCAGAGTGGAAGCTCCATGGGGAATCAACCCCCAATTTGCCCCTCAAGCTTGAGATCTCGCTTCTTCTTCTTCTTCTATTATTATCCATCTATTCATCTGTCTTCTCAATCAGTTCCCACAGACATGATTATCTCCACTATACTGCTCCTGAACAAGTAATCATGTAGGAAGAATAATTAAATAGGAATCTCAAGGAACTTGTGAATACCATAACTGGCCAAAGGAAAGCAATCCAGTATTAAAGGGTATTATCAGGTGTTTCATCCCAATAATCAAAGATGATTCATAACTCATGAATCTTTTATACTTCTTATCAGTATAATGACATTAACAACTACTCCTAAAGAAGATGGATGGGTAGATGCCTAGATAGATAGACTGTAGGTAGGTAGACAGATAACACACCCACATAGTGATTAAAATATATTACATTACAATGTGTTACTGCAGTGTCACATCTTTTCTGGATTGTGGGCTTTGTTTTCAACTCTAAACAGCTTAATGTTATAATAAAATAAAGAGACTGATGTTCAAACACACGCAGATACACATTAGCTTCTTAATTTTATTATAACATTAAGCTATTTGAGTTCGGGCAAATGCAAAATAGATGTGCTACTGCTGTACTAATGATTGTTCTCAAGGCTTCACTTAAATTAACTTATTTTTTTACAGAGAAGAATGAGCTTCTTTGAATAGAAGATATATATAGGTAGTCATACATCTCTGTTGCATCAATAGGCAAAAAGCCTAATCCTAAAAACATTATGTGGCAGCAAGGTACATTGAAATCAAAAGGACTTGTACCTGCGTAATTAAATGGGGGGGGTGCAATGCTTGTGTTTGCAACTTATTAAATGAAAAATTTTACATCAAGAGCTTGGTCAAAATGTGAAAAGTTAGCTTAATAACTCAAACTGAAACTGTAAGAGATGAGTGTAAATGTGTCACTTTTACCAACACTTTTTGTGTTTCTGTTCTTCTCTTTGGAATATAAATGGATATGCATTGTTTGTTTCTAATTGTTACTAGATGCCATTATATTATTCTATATATGTATGGGATGTATTTATAATAATTTACAACTTTTTTTTTATCCCAATCTTTTTATCACACCCTCAGTTTGTTGGAATTTGTTTCCTTTTATGCACTGCTTATCACCAATGTGACCCTTTGTGGATTAGTTGCATTTCTCATTACAAACAATGGAGATCGGCATGATATACAGTAATTGCACCCTGCAGCCAATCAGATGTTGTTCATGTCACAAAGTGAGGGCAAGCAAAGCTAATTCAGACTTGAGAGCAATGCCTCTGGATCAGACACATCAATGATCCCAAACAATCAGGGATCATATATTGAAGAGGATGGTGTATGATCTTCTATATCAACTCAGATTTGTCTGTGTGATGACGTCACAGAAGGCAAATAAAGTAAAAGAGTGAAGGCAATGCTTCCTTATAATACATAAACACTTTTGAATTTGAACTGTACTTTAATAGCCCTCTGGCATCAAGAAATCACTGAAAAAAGTGGAAGGGACTTATAAGGTGTGATGCAGCTTTGTGACAATTTGGCCACTGTTGCTTACTACCAGGGGGAGAGGGAACACAGTGCACTGCAAACACACCAGCCTAGCTCATTTGGCATTCCTGCTGTTGCATTTGCACTGTACCAACAGCAGCCCACATGGATAGCCGCTTCTGGAAAGAGGGAGACATTTTAACCCTGCTGAAAATGTTTGTGAAAGACAATGACTATTTTAATCTAAACCATTAAATAATAATATTCATCATCATCCTAACCCAATACTAGTTTCTGCATGAAGACATGATTTTTAACTGTGGCAGGATTGTGATTCGGGGATCAGTAAACTTTACCTGATAGCTATTTTGGGGAGATAAAGTTTAACATCTGCCAAGTTCATTATCTTTTTGTCCACATTTCCCATCCATAACCTGGAAATGAGAGTGACCTATTTCACTGAATCTTTCTGAGAGTTAACCAGCAGAAACCAGTCTGCTGATTAAAAATGCCAAATACATGGCAAAAGATAGTAAGATGGAAACAATGACATTGTTTACCATCTACAGAAACACAATGCGCTCTTGCCCTTCAGGATAACAAGCCTCAAGGTAAAAGACTGAAAACACATTAAGCAATATGTCAATCATGATTTGATTTTTTGTTGTTTTACTTCAATACCATAATGCCCGCAGAAGACGAGACATTATAGACAGCATATACCACTAATTTTCAGCTTTATGTATCACCATCACACAATTTTTTCCAGACATATAGTCAACTATCAATCAATCCTTTTCCAGAGACTCCTAGAACATATGCAAAAACTTCAGTTTGTAAAATAATTTTGCCCTTGGTTAGATTTTCTTCTCTAGGGAGTTGAAAACATGATCCTCTGACACTCTTTTCAAACGTTTGAACTCAGATAACCCATTGCAATTATCTCTGTGATTAAAAAAAAAGGAGAAGCAGAGCTTGCTTCCGAACTACAAGAAACATCATTGAAATCCCCTCCATAGCTCATGACATGAAGTCTCCAAAGACCCTCTTCTACATGGAAGAGCACCCTATATATGCCATGCTGTCAGCAACACGAAGCACACTAAGAGCCAGACTCTAATGAGATAACCTTGCCTACTTGAACATTTCCATTTTAGTAGGGTCATATCTTTAACTGCGGCAGCTTTTAGCAAGCTTGAAAAAAATACATTTAATTTAAAAACACGTGGTGGAGTAATGAGTGTGCAGGAAGATACTGAGAGCCAAATGAGTCTATGAACTGTCATGTATAGGTTCTCCCTTATATTCTGTATTGCCTCACATTTAGATGACTGGAGGAAAATCATGCAATATATATTTCAACTGTGTCAGACCAACACGGCTACCTACCTGGATACAGATAGATATGTACAAGATGTATCTTCCTGCCCCCTTTGCATCTTCTCCTGTACTCCTTTTGCTTTATCAACCCTCTTATCAATTTATGAGTTTAAATCTACATGTGAAGTCTACTTGATGCAAACATGCATTTCAGTGTTTTGGAGGCTGCTCCATAGGAACAGATTATCTGCCTTTGGAGATTCGCCAGAATGGGGTAGAATGGGGTAGCCAACATGGTGCCCTCCAAACATTGACAGACTTTCACTCCCATCAGCACCAGCCAGCAAGGCCAGTGTCCAAGTATTACTGAACAGCATCAAGAGGCATCACATTAGCTACCACTTTTCTGAATGGTTGATAGAATTCTAACTAAAAGTGTTGGGTGAGAAGATGCTTGCTCGCATTATTCACTGGCTCACTACAGGAGCCGCAGAAGGCTATTTGCTTACTTCATAGTAGCTTGGCGGAAGCTTCCTTTCCTCTCTCAGAGTTAGTGATGCTAACTTTCAGAAATTGGAAGAGTTGGAATTTGAATTATCATCTGTTGAAGTACAACTATCGTGTTGACCGTGGCCGGTAAATTGAAGTCCAACATCTGGGAAGAAACACATTGATTACCCCTGCCTTAAATGTACTTAGTTACATGCATTTCTGATGTGAAATACACAATCAAAAATTGGCGTTATAAATGGATGCCATCAATAAAGAAACTGAAAACATTTCACCTTATTCTTAAAAATAATTCAGGTGTTTTTTTAAGGGCAAAGGGAACAGGACTGCTGATGGGAAATGGGTGGGGCACCTGTCACTTTCAGGTTTACAAAAAGTAGCCCTCTATTCTTCTGAGAATCTTTTAGGTACCCTGCTCCCAAGCTGTATATGGCTTTGTACACCAATACTAGAACACAGAGCCTGGCCCGGTAGCTAATTGGCAACCAGTGAAATTCTTTCAGCAGTGGCATAATTGTGATGATGATATTCTGCTCCAGTGAGCAGTCAAGCCTCCACATTTTGTACTGGCCGCAGCTTTGGGCTAGCTTCAAGAGCAGTACTGCATAAAGTGCACTGCAGTAATCTAATTTGGACGTAACCAGCACAGGATGACAATGGTCAAGCTATCATATATGGAAATGGCTATAGCTGTCTTACCAACTGAAGCTGGTAAAAGGTACTCCTAGCCAACAAGGTAACCTTGGCCTCCAACAAGAAATATATGCCTATTATTACTTTTGGTGTCAACCCAAAATGAATTCTTGGTACATGAATATACAGTATACATTACTGAGCTACTGTAGAGATCTATTTAACACTTACTGCTGCAAAATGTCTTCTTGCACCACATGTTGTATTTTTAAGAAATGCTGACTAGAAAAAGAAACATGTTTGTAGTTGACCACAAAACACTGAGGAAAAGGAGTGGGGAGATCTCTTCGTAACTCCCTCTTCAAGTAAATTGAATGAAATTTGACTCTCCTGTAACAAATAATTTATAATGCTTGTTACAGCCCATCACAGATATTTGAAATCTATGTAGAACTTCCTTCCAAGAATCAAACTAGTCATCTTGTAGAGCTCTCAGAAGAAATTGCCTTTGAAATTCATATATCTCATATAACAGTAGGTCTAATAACAAGTCAGGGAAAGATCCTGACAGCAAAGTAGATTTGTGTGTGTGTGTGTGATGTGTTTAGAGATAAGGAAATTCTATAAAGAGAGTTTTTTTACTATGAAGGAAGCCTTGTTCTTTCTTTCCAGCAGCAGTGATTTACCACGCATCAAGTGTCATGATGCGAAAGGAAAGTTTGGCTTAGTGTTGTTGACACATTGAACTTTTGGAAGAAGACAAGGTTTGAAGATATTACAGAGTCTGAAGCTCTAGGGATGAGTTCATACATCTCTAAGATAATGCTCAAGTACAATAAAATTATCTCTTCTCAGAAGAACCCGTATTTCAGCACTTTCCTCTGATGCCTGTCTATCATTCTTTGAAGCTGTGCACTTCCCTCCACTCAAGTGCACAATGTGTCATTTGTCTTGCTCTCCATTTGGGTGTGTTTTGCTTCCAACCACCCTTCATTCACTTCCATGGAGTGAGCTGCTTTGTGTATGCATCTCTCTGTGTGTGTCAAGCTGTCATCTGAAGTAAATAAAAGAAAAGAAAGAAAGACTTTGAGGCCTAGGATGCTGTGTGGGTATGTCACAGTTTTCATATCTACCTCGATTAAATGGATAACTCCTCTCCTCATAACCTCAAACTTGCCATGTCACAATGGAGTCTGAAGACCTTCTGGGTTACTTTTTACGCACACTTTTTATGTAGCTCTTTTGTTTTAAGACAGAGTTAGGCCACTAAATCAAAGAAGAGGAAATGGAGACAGCTTGTGAGAAAAGAGGCAGACCAAAGAACAGGATATGAAGAGGCAAGAGGTTTAAGCCCCACATTGGGCAAAAGATTCCTACATTGCAGGGGTTTGGACTAACTGGTGCTCAGGGCCCCTTTATTATTTTTCTAATTGGAGGACTTAATAGATTGCTATGTATGCATCTATTTTACTATCAAAACCCACTTTTGGAGGTAGAGAGAACCACCTGGAAGCTACTAGCTCAGCACTGAAACTAATCCATGTACAGTGGTACCTCGGGTTAAGTACTTAATTCGTTCCGGAGGTCCGTTCTTAACCTGAA